AGAGCCGCCACCTCTGGGCTGGTTCTCGAACCATCGAGGGGAGGCACAATATCTGGCATTGTCATGATAAGGGCTGGCTGTGTAACGAGCGTCTGCTCTTGCCACGACGGGCGAGAGCAAGGGATATTGGTGCGACCTCCCCACTCCCGTTTGCGCGTTGCGAGGAACCCATCGACAGATCAAGAATTAACACTGCTAGAACTGATGGAGTATTATTGACAACTGGGCGCACACAGAGTTGACGGGGCATTAGGAATTGCATTAAGGACATTGATGAACGGACTGGATAAAAGGGGGACAGAATTCCTGTTGTCCCTTTGCTCGGCCGTAAATCATTACCGTGTACTCGAACCAACGGTCCCAGTCAGGGGTCGCCACCCGTCGACCCTGCCCGCCTTCGTCAGCACATGTGTTGCTAGCCCAGTTGTTTAGCTCACACCCCAGTCTTTTGATCATTTGTTTTCGGTGCTTTGTTTTGGGCACTTTGGTTTTGGGGTTTGGGTGCATCAACTGCTGCAAAGACTGGGATGTTCACGAAAGAGACTGACCGAGTGCATGGCTGGCCAGGGCTTCGTCCTCGAATACGTCTGACATCAGCAAACTATAGGGCCTTGAGGCCCTGTGCGGCAGCCTGAAAGGCATATTATTAGTACAGTGGCGACCTCACTGAAATTGCCATCTTGTTTCTTAGTTTAACTCAAAAGTGCAAACAGTGTGGCCTTGTGTCTAGAGCTAAACTAAAAAAGTGGCCACGGTATCAGCGACAGGATTAATATCAAGGCTTAATGTCAAGGTTTAATGTCAAGGCTTAATGTCAGCCATAATATCAAAGCTTGCTGAGATGGTGGGGGTTGGCTTTGGCTGCCCGACTTCAAATTTCGACATTCACGCTCTGGACACGGGAAAATCGAAAGCGTTTTCAAGACACGTCCCTTCTGACAGCCGTAGAGGCGTCAGATGGAGAAACCGTAGCAAGCGGTCGTACACAAACTGCACGATGTGTGGCATCAACAACTCTGCCTCTCCCATCAAGTGGGGAATTCCACGATACATGGCATTCTGCCACTCGCTGCCTTGAACACAGCCCCAACCCACGATCACAAAGCACATCATTCGATATAGAATTTTACCTTTTCATAAACAATTTCACTGAGCTGCTCCGGTCCCTTGATCACAAGGTATCCCTCCTCATAACCATGGCGCAATTCCCCACCGCACACATAATGCACTGAATACAACTGGTATGCCACTGGCAGGGTCTGTGCATCAAGCCTTGCAAAAATGCACCCTCACCCCTTATCAACAGTCACCAACACGATATGCACACAACCCTTTGCTGTCTACACTGATCTGCCCAATCTGACCTATAAATACCGCATCATGCGGCACTTCCCTCAACCCGATGTGTGCAGCACCTCCAAGGACTTCTTGGAGGCAATCATGTGCTCCCGTCAGCCGCCTGAATCAAAAGTTGCTCAAGGGCAGTCAAGGCACCGACTTGCCCATCCACACATTGTGCATCCACCCTCAGGTAGCCAAAGACTGTCCCAAATCAAAGTTACCTTGCGGAGCACAGACATGACTTCTGCTATCACAAGGCATTGCTACATGTCGCTATCATGCGCAGGTGCCAGCTGAGCATGTCCGCAACAAAACAACCCCTAGAAAGCCAAGTCACAACAACAAACAGGCAGTGGACGAGCAGGCCTGATCAAGCCACTACTGCGCCCATGGCAACTAAGCACCAAGCTGTAAGTCAGCGAGCTGCCAATGCACAGGTGTGAAAAGCAGCAGTCTCATACCAACAGACGTCCGCCAACTGCTACCCGGAAAGACACACACCGCTGGCCCATCATGAGGCGATGATGTGGCGTCTTGATAGACGTCAACGCACCGATGCCCACATCACAATATGGTTTCTCAATGACATCGAAATAGTGATGCCCACAGTGCAATCCACTTTCACAGGTAGCCCAGACTCTCAACCACTTTGCCACAAGGATTAGCCCCTTGCACCCTTACTCAGTTGGTCAAGAGCCTCAACGACTGCACAGACAAGAATGCATCCATGTCATGTGCCCCCCGCCAGCCCAGATTTTCAATAACTGCACCTGAGGGAACTCCCCATGGACATTCTCACTGCCCCAAAGCTGCCATTCTCAGGTGAATCAGAGCCACGAAGACGCTGCCAGGGGATGCATTCAGTGTGCTCCTCCTAAGGTGACCAAGGCCACAAAAATCCACCAGTTCAAAAGGCAGCACATACCGCGTGCTTTCTGCATTAGCCAGAGTCTGAAACCCTCAACCAGAAGGTTGCATGTGCTGCATCCCCCCGATTGTGGCTATGAAGAGAACCATTTCCTACCGGCCCATCAGCCCAGTCTCACACCTGATCCCCCTGTTAGGCATCCCTGCCCTGCTCTCTGCCACTTGCTGCTCTGTTGCCCCCAGTTCCCGCGCCACACTCGCCCACACCTCCGCACTGCGCTCTGCATATGCTGCCTGCACACATGCCAGGCTGCACAGCATCTCTGTGAAGTCAGCAGCCTTCTGTGCCTTAAAGCGCTCCACCTCCTGAAAATTGACAGCCTTGATCTTTTCGTACTCAGCCCTGGCCAGGATGGGCCCAATATGTTACTGAACAGCTTGCAAACAGGAATGATATATGTTCAGCATGGCGTGTCAGGACTTCACATTTGCAAGAAATACATTAAGGGTAGGCTGCGCATGGATTCTGCCCATATCAGCTTGGATATGCAACAGTGTCTGTCATTTTTCTACAAATGGCATCAAGGCCTTTCAACTGTCTAATTTTCCGAACACTTGCATCCTATCGTGTGTTTACACATCTTTGCCACATTGCAGCTATTGAGACCTACTTGGCTGCCATCACACTGCTCTCCAGACCCGCGATCTCAGACTTCATGGTTTCCATACGGCGGAGCTTGCCACGGTCACCAGTCACTGGCCTTTCGCCGCCTCCCTCCATATCTTCGACAGCCTTTTCCTTGGCAACCTGCTGCGACTGGAGGGTCTGCAGCGTCAGCATCGCTTGTTCCCGTGTGGCAAGTGCCCTCTGGACAGACTGGGACCGATGCACATGCAACAGTCAGTACATCAAGCACGCCAGCACAAGGGAGCACCCAGTGTTGGCTACTTGGCTACACGGCCTATCGCCTATCAAATGTCCCCTATTTTCAGTGACAATCATTGCCTAAAATTCCCTCATTTATGCTGTCAGTGACATTGCAGTCTCAGCAGTTGGGTTGATAGAGGGACCAAGCCAGCTGGCTTTCTCTGCTGAGGAGCACCAGAATCTGTGCTGTGCTATAAATCAACGAAAACCAATCTTGTGGCTGCCGATCAATTGCTAAATTTTGGCATACTATTCGTTGCCAGACTGCTGCCAGATTGAAATCGTCGCCAGATTTCTTGTGATACCTAGGGTGAAGCATGTCTTCAACAGAGAAAAGAAATTGGGATACTAAGGTGAAACCCATGTACCCCACCTCCAAGCAAGGATGCTGTCTGTTAGGCTTTTTCCACACAACGTTGATTGATACAATGTTTGCCACACATACCTACAACAATAAAGCCTGCAAGGCTGTTCTCAACACACATAATGCACTAGACACTGTCAATGCTGTGCATTGACTGCACTCAGCAGACTCTGGGACCATTGTTGTGCGCGGAATTGCCTATCACGGTCCAGATGGCTTATGGAAACTCTATTTTAAAGAAAGCAATGCGTTTTCTGTCGCCTTTATCAACTGTGGATACAATGCAAGCAAAGGAATTATCAGCACCATTCACCAAGAACTACTGGCTGCATCCAATCCAGACTGGCAACAGGGCACAGACAGGCAGAATCCAATAAGCACTGCACATGGACCTATGCCCATCATCGTTGGGTGAGTCTTCAGGAGAATCTTCTGATTTTCAGGAGAAGAATTATCAGGAATTTTCAGGTATTTTTATGATTTATCACGAATTTTCATGAACTTTCAGGAGATCTTCAGGAGCATCTTCAGGAGAATCTGCAGGTGCCAGGGCAATGAGCTTCCCTTCCCTTCATTTCTCCTGTCTCTTCTATCTGCATTTTTCTTTGCCAAAGCAGTCAGAAGGACTAAAGCAGTGGTGCGCACCGGCATAAAGTACATGTAGTCGTGAAGCTCCCCAAGGTCCTGCGCCATCTTGTTGGTCACTTTGCGGGCGAGGCGGGCGAGCCTGACAAGGGCGATCCCGCACTGCTTGGTGTCACAGCTCAGGGCCCGCGCGCATGAGACTGTGTCGGTGAACCTTGCACGCTCGCTGCCTTCAATCTCTTCATACTTTGACAACTTGATGAAGGACAGGCCAAGGTCTCCATATACGGCTCCCATCCGCTCAAATTTCTTGACAAGTTTTTCTGCCTGCAAGAATGATTACCACCTTTTAGACGAATGAAGCTCTAGTTTTCTTTTGTCCACTCGTAACCATTGAACTATCATCTTTTTCCCATCATTCATTTCGCCACATTTCATTATCAACAAGCATTACTAACCTCTATGACCCACAAAGAATTAAATTGCATTTCACCAGAGAGCAAGCTGCACAATGAGCAGCACCCTGCTCAAGGAAAATCATAGGAAGAGCTTTCTCCCCAGTTCAAAATTCCTTTGGACAACAAGCTTCATTTCTTGCACTGCTTTCCTGCAACCCTGTGCTTTAGAATAGTATACAATAGAACATGAGCCACCCCTTGTTGCACTGGTAACACTTGAAAGAGACCTCAATTACGAAAGGTAACGGCAACTGCAAAATTGCCAAAAACTAAATCCTGTCAACTGAGCAGAGTTGCTCCCATTGCCCAGCAGGCAAACAGCATCGATAGATGCATTCTCCAAAGAGGGTAGGGGCACCAGCATGCTCTAGCACGCATGCAGCATACACTTTAAACATCAGATGTTCACAGCCCACAATGCTCCTGCTCAAGAACTATACTGGACCTGAACAAAGCTACCCAAGATGGAGCTGTGTTTAACCCCAAAACAGTACCTTGTGTCCTGGCTTGTGCTTGTGTGGCCATTGTTTCACCATATCACCTGATACAATATATCAGATCCACTAGTTCCACAGACTTCTAGCCAATGCTTAAGTAAGCCACCTGGTCCACTGTTCTCAATGGAAAACGACTTCTAATCGAAAACAGTGGGACTAAACGAAACTTTTCCAATTACAACACTGCTTCCAACAATATTAATGAAGTTAGCAAAATGCAATGAACCTTAAACTCACCACTCGCGAAGTGTCTGACAGCTGGTCCCACATCATCTCCAGCAGCTTTGTCTGGCACCGCAGTTCCTTCTCATCCTCTGGCATGTCCACTAGTGCATACAGTTCATTCTTAAATCCCTGCATGCCCTCTCTCATCATTCGCATAATATCTGCAGATTTTTTTGCAGGCTGCAGAACTTCTGCAGGTTGCGGCACACCCTCCTTCCCAAAGAGCTGCTTGGGCAGTCGGGCAGCACCCTCCAGGAAGCTCTGTTGGGGCGGTTGCAGCATCAGCCAGTTGATGTCAGAGGCGAGCTCGGCTTCAGTCTCCAGGAAGAGCCGCATCTCCTGCTTGGACACACACAAGGGCAAATGAATCGAACCAGCAAACAGATAACGGATAGTTGTTTGGCTGTTCGAGCTGGGCAACTAGGTTAAGAGTGCATTTTGAGCGCTGCACTGGGGATACCCAAGCTTGCTTCCACAAATGGGCGACTTAAATCCTGGCATCCATGCACATGAATTCGGCGCAATCCTGCTGTTTTCCTGGCAGTTCATCACAACCTCCCGTGTATAGTGACGTTCAGAATGACAGAATTGACAGACAAGCCTCAACCAGCATTGTGCACATGACATCTTTGCCTTGCGTCACAACAGTGAGCACGATCTTGATTGCCCCAGCCTCACCTCACTTGGGCCTATCTCAGGATGGGCAGCCAACCTGCAGAGGTACTTCTCCAGAGAACTCCTTCGCTCTTCTATGAAGCCATCCTTCATTCGCTGCCCCTCAACAGCATTCTTTTCTGGCCGGGGGGGTATGAAGTAGCCTCTGAACTTGGCCTTGAGCAGCTGATCGAGTGCCACAAACTCACGAAACCTCCGGCGCACAACACACTCGGGCGACTTGTAGCTGCTCAGTGTGCTTTTTGTTACTACCTTGTATTGCATGTAGCCACCTGCATCCACCAACACAAGATGCGTTTGTATCTCACTCTGCCCTGTTCACCATGGCCTGACTCTTTTGTTTTGGCACGCCGGTCAACATACTCTGAACACAGCCTATTCTTTGCCGAGTTAGGGAACAACCTAAGGCCCAACATGTAAGCCATGCAACTGGCAATAACAACATGGATTGGAACTTCTTGCAGAATGCGATGGCCTGCAATGCGCAACAGCTCTGTGACGTCTCTTTGAAATGTATGACCAGAAGAACTACCAAGGTGGCCACGATAAAGGCACCCTGCTGGGCCCATATGCACGCTCCCAGCCTGCTCCCAGCCCCCGCTGCACCCACTCTGTTGCTTCACCACAAGCTCATCGCCTACAAGGTGCCAACCCACTGTGTTGCCCTGCAAAACCCTGTCTCCCATCATCCCTCTTGCAATTCTCAAACATGAAGGTGATGCCCTTGGTGCAACCCAAGGGCACATGTATCTATGATTCTGCATGCAATGCACAAGGGTCAGATGCCCTTGTGGCCATGATTGCCTCCAAGGTGCAGGCAAACGTGATTGGCAACATTCAGGCAGATCCCTGGCTTACTCTGCATGCCAAACACTCCAGACTGTTCCCTCCTCTGAGGGTCTGTCACTGACACGTTGAGCGCTGGTTTGGCTGCCACCGTAGCATCAGATGCTGAGCCACCTGGCCCATTGCTGGCATTGACCACGCTGTCATACAGCACACTCTCCTCATAGGAGGGGGGGCCCACAAGCTGGCCATAACTGGCATAGGTCTGGAGCCCAGCATCGTCCACCTCAGGCTCATCTGAGTCCTGGCTGTCCTTGCTGAGAGTGGAGGAGCCAAAGTCGAGGGTGATGGGGCCTGTGGGGGCGCGGGCCTTCCTGGCTAAAGGGTCTGTGACCGCCTCGGGTGCTTCTGGAACCTGCAGATGCCAGAAAGCAACTGACTGAAAGGACTCGTACAGGCAGTGTGACAAGCACAATCATCAGGTCATGCACATTGTGGCAGAGTTCATTCTGCACTGTGCATTCCATGATATTTTTCACCCCAAAGTCATCACGACAGCCTATGGGTGGATGAATGAAGTTATGTATGCACATGCTGCAGGGCTTGAGGGGCCATGATGTGGGGTTGGCATTTCAGCACAAAATAATGGCGACTATTCTGTGGGTTTAGTTGTGGCTCCTTTGCTCGATTTTGGGATATTCTTGCAGCTCATCATGACAAGTGCTCCAACATGTGGGTAGAAATCAACCTAGTGGTTAGAAAGTGGATTGCAATCCGTATTTTGGACTGATATGGTACTTACTGAGATTTCTCTCTCTCAGATATGTTCTGTTTGTGGTTTCTGAGAAAATCTGCACTGGAGCGGACACAATGTAATTGCTCCTGCTGCTGTTAATAGTGTATTAACTTACTGCAACAACAACAACAACAACAACAACCACTGTGAGACTCACAGCGATGGCGTCTTTAACACACCACCGGAATGTGGTCATACAGCTAGTTGCGCATACATGTGGTCAGTGCCGCAGTCTTCCTCTTTAAAGCATTTTGGGCGCAACGACAGCCAGTCAGGATTTCAAAGGCTGACAAGTGCCAATCCCTGAATCTGTTAACTCTTGAATGATCTGGAATATCAGGCAAGAACAACCACCATCTCAGCATGTCAGCATCAAAAGGCGCAGGCAGCCAAAGGCCAATACATTGTTGCTAAGAAAATTGATTGGAATATCAAACTAGGTATGTATTGTGTCCATGTCCTGTGCCAGCAGATCGCCAAATATATCCACATCCTTGAATGTCATTCCCTGATTAGGGCACAAGGAAACCAAAAAGAAGGAAAACAGCAAATTATGAGGGTATGATCGGCAACGTCAAGGGCTTTGATCCACAAGTTATGGGATTTTCCATCTTCTTGAAGGGCCGAAAAAGATTCCACAGAATTTCTATAGTGGGAGACATCATCCATTGTATGAAATATCTATTGGTTTCTGTAACAAGGTCAGTGTGCTATGAGCCCCTTATCAGGAGCCCCTGCCAGACAACCTGCAATTGCCCTGCTGCAGTTGTCTCCACTTCTCTTTTTCACAAGCCAATTGCTGGCTGACCTGCTGATCCAGAGCACGGGACAGTGGGTCCTGCACAGCCTCCTCGGCGCCGCCACTGGAGGCCAGCATCTCGACCGGCCTTGACACGGCCCGATCGGAGGCGAAATCGCACTGCAATGTCTCCCGCTGTCCAAGTCGTCTGCAGCACAGCAGCGATCAAGAAAACACTCACCAAAATACGTTGCTGATGGGAGCAAGCCCAACATACCCTCCCTGGTGGCACGGCAGTGTGCTGTCAAGATTTGCAGAATGAAATCAACCAGGAACTCCGCTGGGCACGGCTCAGGCTGCAACTGCAAGGGATGCTCCAGGAGAGACAAATGGCAAGCATGGCTCATTCCTTGCGGCAGAAAGGACCGACCGGACTCGAGAAGCATTGCGCCCAACGCCACACACACACACATCGTCGCACCCGTGGCGTCCGGGCTCTACCCGTGGTCACAAGTCTTTTCCAGTCGCTCAAGGCACATGGCAAACGTCCACAGCCCACACCACACGACCAAATACTGAACAGCGAAATCGCACCAAGCAAGAGCCCTGCTTCGGCGACGGGCCACAAACCCATTCCATTCCAAACGTGACCTCCGCTCATCCTCCAGGAGGCATCCCAAATCCCAAGCCTTCCAGTCTCCTCCCCCCCTTTTCTCAATCTTATACGCGATGCATACACCCACACAGAGGCCCAAAAACAGGGCCCCCCCAAAGACCTCCGCCACACTCCCCGCCTGCAACGCACGATTGCCACCCGCGCCCCGCACCTGCTTCAGCCCTCGGAACGGCGCCGCCGGGCCGCAGCGAACGATCGCCGCGTGCCAGCCAAGGGGGTCCGGGGATCCCGTCCACCCGGTGGACCACGCGGACTCACGGGACGCGCGGCTTAAGGCCGAAGCTGCGAGGGACCGCGCGGGGAGGTGCGCCGGTCGTGCTGGCGCGTCGCTTCGCGTCCGAGCGCCGGGGGCTGTGGGGTTGGGGTTGGGCGGGAGTTGGACGCCCCGGATTCCTTCCCGTGTTCGTTTTCGACTGGTGCGAAATGTTGTGCGCGGTGCGGCAGCGGCAATCCACCCTGGTCCTAATGCAGCACATGTAGTTTGATTTAGAGATTGCGGTGATGCAGCGGGGTGGGGTCGAGGGGACGGTAGGCTCGAGTCCACGGCGACGGTTTGCAGCCGAGCAAAGGGACAACACGAGTTCTGTCCATTATACAAGTAAGAAGCTGCCGACCGCATGCGCGGCTGCGCAGTTGCGGGGAATCGCCTGGCGGGCAGTTGGAGCCTCCAACTTGGAGGGTGCGGTAGGCATTATGCATCATGCACTTGTTTTCTGAGGCCAGCTCAATGTCATTACATCGTTGTGCGGCATGGCAAGAGTGTTTCTTGCAGTGGTTTTACAAAGTGATGCAATGTGTTCGGAGAGTTGGATTCCCAAGCACAAATATCCAACAATCCCTTATGAGGAAAATGTATCAAAAATTGAAGTATGTAATAGACTAAAAGTGTTCAACCTGGTGTTTGTTGTTTAGTCTGTTTGGATAACTGTTGACATGTAGCCCACGCCCATGTTTGGCCATGCCACGTTTACAACCTCATTGTGATATCACCAATATGCCCGTGGTATGCATGATGACAATGAATATAAGCATGAGTAGCGTTGGCACAATCAGCATCACTATCAACATTGCCTTCTGATGGTTCCATTGCTCCCAATGAGCAGGCGCCTTTGCACATGAACCTCTCTCTACATTCATATCTCTTCACTATTTTGCTTCTGATCTACATCACCGAAAAGTGGCATAGGTTATTGATATTACATCTATACAGTAAGATTAACTCGACTCCGGCCGCAATGAATTAGAGCGAGCCGGTTTAGTGGCAATTCATATTATTCATGAACAATCATCAACATTGCCTTCCCAGTAATCTTTAGCATCACCATTGGCAATGGTGATGCCATCATGATCACCATCATTGACGAATGTTATGTTGTCTGCCATTTGAGGAGTCCTTAACATTCTTTGATGGTCTTATTATCAACATCAACATCACTATGCACATCACTATGCCTATCACCATTACCATGACGATCACCATTACCATAATTATTATCATCATCATTATCATCATTATGTCGTGAGTAGCATTAGCTACATCAGAGGGAGTTATGGCTATCAACATAGCAGCAATAGCATTATCATGAGTGTCATTGTGGGCATGACATATTCATCGTGGATGGGAAAGAAATCGCCATCATTATTATCGGGTTGACCGGTCTCGCACACGCTCGCACGGTCGCTCCCAGGCACGGGAAGCAAAACCGTAACCGGATGCATTACAGGATGAGTGTATCGACTAAATATCAATCACTGCAATAATGTTCACTTTCCCATCTCCATTGTCCCCGTGTACATTCACCATAACACCATGTCCACCATATTTACTTCCCACCATCAAAACACACCATGTATCATATATTATACATTAACCGTTCGCTTGCTCTCACACGCTTCCCTGCGCCAAATATACACCCACCGGAAACTCATCCCTTTTCAAATGGCATCCCGATACGGCCGTAACATATCCGTGTGCCTAACCCATACCTTTCCTTCTGGCCCCTGTACTTCCCAAACCGCATTTGTTATGGGGCGAATCAACACCCCTGGACCCTTCCACCATGGCTCGAGCTTGTCCTTGAGTGTTTCGACTTTTGTATTCCATAACCACACCCAATCCCCCGCTCTAAACGTCCGTTGGATACGCCTTCCCCTGGTCCTGTGGTTTGCCTTCGCGCGCTGTTGACGCGCGTACTCATGTAGCCTGCCCCACACGGCCCTTGAACTGTTCCACAATTGGTTTGGCGATCCAAATGCGAAAGAGGTGCGAGTCTTCTTGTTCTCTTCTGGTGATGACAAAGGCGTGTTGTTATAGATCTCCACGGCCTGCTCAACAGTCTTGGCGAAATACTTGGGTTCCTCAGCCCACATGCGCCTCAAACGGTTCAAAAGTGTCTGATTGAACCGCTCTACAAACCCAATAGATGCGTGATGGTAAGGAGGTGAGAACTCCTGTGTCACTCCCTCCTGTGTGCACCACCTTTGCAATTCCTTGGATTGCGTGGCTTTGCAGACGTCAGAACACAAGATGGAAGGTGTCCCTCGTGTTTGTGCCCACTTCTTTAACCCCTGCACAATGTCCGCCCCCCCTGCACCCGTGACAGCCCACGCCCTCGCATATCTGGTCAGCATGTCCACGATGACAAGAACAAAACGCTTCTTCCCTACCTTCTTCTCAGGAAACGGCCCCATGAAATCCAAGCCAATGACTTGGCCAGGCTTCTCCGGCACATGCCAACAGCCAAACGGGTTGGATGGTTGCGGTCGATGGAACAACTGACACACCCTGCATGACCGCACTCTATCCGTCACCCACTGCCATGTTGGATGCAGACCCATCTGGCGAAAACGAAGATATGTCTTTCTGATTCCAAAATGCCCTGCATGGGCCTGCTTCCATTGTGCCTGAGTAATGACCGAGCGATGTCCTTCCACTGCGCGAAGACGAGACGGTCCCAAAATCCAAGCCCCCTGTCTAGACAGAAAATCTGCCAAATAATTAAATGGTCCTGGACAAAATGAAATTTGCGGAGAGTACCAAGAAAGGTGATCAAGGCGCCTCTTGAGGAAGTCGCTCAAGTGTTCTGGATTGTTGAAGCTCACGGCAGCTTGGTTATCCATGATGGCCCGAATAGGTGCACCAAAAATCCATGGTCTGAAAGTCTAAAGAGCTCTGCAAAGCGCTTCCAACTCCAAGACGTTGCTCATATGGTGCTGAAAAGATGTTGGCCACAAACCGTGCGCACAACGAATAATCCGATGCCCAGTCAGTAGCACCGCTCCCCAGCCAAGCTTACACGCGTCAGTGATCACTGTGAAAGACCCAGGTAATGGCGCCAAAGGAATAGCACATCTGACAAAATGGCAGCGCAGCAAAGAAAGAAATTGTTGCCACCGAGCCAGTGAAGGATGTGCTTGGACGTCACGCAAGGCTGCCAATACCTGATGGCCCTGCCAAATGAACCGAGCAGAGTGGTTCAACCAGCCGCAAATTTGACGCCAACCTGATTGGGTGGTAGGCATAGGAGCTTGCTCAAACTGAGTCAACACTGCGTCCGTCGGTTCCAAACCAGAAGTTGTAAGGGTCACCCCCAAATACTCAAAGCGATCCCGGCAGAACTGGCACTTGTCCCAATTGACCCGCCATCCATCCCGTTGAAGCTCTTCCAATAAAATGGCTAAGTCCTGCTGATGTTGGGCTTCCGACTGGGACAATAAAAGAATATCATCCATATAAAAAAGGATCTGCGACTGAATACGACTAGACACCCGGCGAATGGTTGGCCACAATGCTCTCAAAAACTCATGGGAACTATTAGAGTACCCAAAAGGCAGCCGCATGTACTCAAAGAATCTCCCTGCCACTGTTAGCCCAATAGCACGCCATAAACATGGGGCAAGCCGGATTTGCAAATAAGCATTGGACAAGTCGAGTGCTGACCCAATGCGGAACGGACGTAAAGCTGCCAAAGAGAGCTCACGATGGACAGGAAGAAAAGGCTGGTGCTGGACACAAGAATTGAATTTCCGAAAATCCAGCACAAGACGAGTTGAGCCATTCTTTTTGGGCACCCCAAATGCCGGAATGATGTATGGCTCATGGTTCACCTCGCGGACAGCCCCCAACTTCACCAATTTCAAAACCTCCTCCAATACCTTGGCCTCCTCAGCTGGTCCCGTCATACGGCTGGAAGGTTGCGTTTTCCAAGGGAGAGGAAAACGAAAAGGGAAGTTGCGGACAATATAAGTGCGACAAGTGCCAAGACCATCTGCAAAAACAGCAGCATATTTGTGGCGCAAGGTAGCCAACCACCTAGGTGGTGCAGCCAATGCATGAACGACATCTCCATGAAACCCCTGCATTGCCTGACAAAACCCCCGACCCTTGCGACCCTCAGGGATCAAAAACACCCCCTTATCGGGAATCCGAAACCACTGAACCGATGTACGACATGCCAATAGA